ACCACAGAGAAAAAGAATATAGTTTTGCTACTTCGGAAACTGAGCATCAAAGCATTGGGAACAGAATACGCAGAGAAGACTATGACTGAGGTGGAACAAGCTATAGGGCTGTAAGGCTGGCAAAGTGAGCAGCGTGGTAGTCTCCATGAGCAATTCCCTGGACTGTACAAACTGAACTCCACAGAATACTCTTCTATAATTATATTCTTCTTGAAACATTCCATAAAACATGGAGGGCACCGGGGGAAATCTCAAACTTACTTAATTTTAGCTATGAAACGAGCTATAAAGCCATAAGAAAATGTGCTTGTAGAAAACTTTATTTTAAAAGATTAATTTTCTATAGGCTCAATATGGCATTACTAACAACATTCTGATCAAAAAAAGAATGTTACCAAACATACATTTATTAACACTTCCAAGTTTTCCTGCCTGCATCTTCCCCTAAATGTCAAACACCGTTCTGTTTTGTATTGGCATTATCTTGAGACATTACTGCATAAATATGGAACTCCACTGACATCACCCGAGAGCTCCCCTTCCAATGGATGGCTCAATGCCCAGCACTCTGTAATTATTCACTGAACCAGTCATTAAGGAATTACCATTCACTCCAAAAAACCTTTTTTCCTTCAGTCTGTGTGGAATTTGCTAATAATCCTGTGAAATGTAACTTGAATTTCCTAACTAACTGCATTAACAGATATTCCTGCTTTAAAGATTGTGGTCGTGGTCCCACTAGTTTTAGAAATTTAATTTCCTTTTTTAAGTTGCAAAAACCAATACTCTGCTACATGGTATTGAACTGAAACAAGAAGGCTGCAAACTCGACTGCTTCTGCCAACTGAACCAACAAACTAAAGAAGTTCTGCGAGCATAAAGACTAATGAAACCTGCTGTCACGGGGTTGGATTCCGTGGTAACTGGTAAGACACTATCCCATCTGAAGTCTCCTCAAGCTGTGCTTTGGCTTTCCCCCCATGTAGAGTCACTTTGCCTGATAATGGGTTAGAGTTTGCAATACAGCCCTGGGGATTTTCATATGGCACCCTTCCTCTCCTTGGCTTCTTAGTTTCATAAAACTTACAGAAATGTGGGTATCTTCTGTCTCTTTCCCCTCCAAACTCCTTCCTCCCAAAGAAAGTTGTGCTGAAAATTACTTGAAAGCCCTTAATGAATTATGGAGATGAAGAAGGTAGATAGGCATAGTTGCTATCTTGGGTTTTAGCCAGTTTATCAAGACGTCCCTGTATTATTAATGAATATTCTGGGTAACACATACCCACACCTGCAAAAGGCCTACTTCTATATCCTATGCAAATGAAGAAATTTTACAGGTAAGCATCATAAGGGGTAGAATTAGTACCCAGAGAATGTAGGAGGAGAAAAGAAGTATGACAAGAAGAGTGTAATTTAGTAGGTACAGAAAGAATCAGTATTTGTATTTTCAGAAAGTTCCCTGAATACTCCTTGATCTCCACAATCTGATTTCTGTGTTAAATTTTCCATTTCCATACTATATATAACAAGTCTTATCTCCCAAATTTCTGAAGCTAACTCAAATTTTTACAACTGCTTTCATTGAAAGAACTCTTAAAAAACCCCTAAAAAGTTAGTGATGGCTTCAGAAATGAAATCCCAATTTGACTGCATTCCATAACCATTCAGTGAAACAAGGTGTTAGCTAACACTGCCATCCCACCACTAAACCACATCCCTAAGCACCTCGTCTACCTGTCTTTTAAATACCTCCAGGGATGGGGACTTGACCACTTCCCTGGACAGCCCGTTCCAGTGGCTGACAACCCCTTCTGCGAAGACATTTTTCCTAATGTCTAACCTAAACCTGCCCTGGTGCAACGTCAGGCCATTTCCCCTTGTCCTATCACCCGTTACCTGGGAGAAAAGACCAACAGAAGTACCTAGGGTTGTTGAATTTAGCCTGTTTAAGGGACTAGCTATGTAAAAGAAGCCCAGACGCATTTAAAGTAGCTTCACTAATTGGTATTTATTATTATTTTAAAAGGAAGACAGAATAAGAACAGGCACTCGACACACAGCTTGTCTATGGGATTTGGCGTATGTTGCTGGCTGACACAGGACAGCTGCCATTTTCTTGGCAAACCTGCAGTGTAAGACTGGGAGGTATGATCCTTCAACGTTTACTCCCCTTCTTTCTCCATATATGCTTAATGATGGCATTGAATAAGGAATTTTCAAATAAAACTCTCCCAGGCTTTGGCTGCTAAATGTTGTATCACGATCAGCACATTATTTAAATATAATTATCTATATTCAGCTTTCATAAGGGAACCAAAAAAAAAAAAAAAAAATGAGAACTTGTCATTTAATAGCACGTCTGCTTTAGAGAAGGTGTATAATTATGCTTTTAAAATAAATTTTGGTTCCAAATCTAGCCTTAGCTTACAGACAGGGCTCTTTCCAGTGAGGAGATAGCTCTATCCCACAGCAACCTGTACCTAGATTCCCATCTCAAGCATGGTCTGCTATGTCAAAAGCAGAAACATAGTCTCAACTTAACAAAAACGTACTTCTTCCACAAGAGATTGTATCTGTTGTGCTACACAATAGTATTGATTTTGCACAGATGAGCAGGAAAATAGCATTAACTCTTGAACGCCAATTAAAGGAAATAGAAATGTCCATGCCAGCTAGTGAGCTAGGCAATATTTTCATCTGCACTTTGAAAATGCCTCATGTAATTTTGTCTGATGTTTCTGAAGTGACCACCTCTATAAAATAATAATGCGGAACAGGTCACCTACCTTTTTGACAGCATATTTTTACTGTGAACATAGGATACGTATTACTCCTAGTACTAGTAAGATCTTAATGGAAATTAGT